CATTAGTTTTGCTTCTGGTCTTTTTGAAACATTTGATATCTGTGGTTAATGAACACAATTCTTTCCCTCCCAGCTGGAGTTGCTACCTTCTCTTGGTGTGCCAGCCTGCCTTCACAGACGCGTGCTCATGCTTGCTACACACGTGTCTTGTACTAGCCTCATGCAAGCACTGCTTCGTTTCCTTTATACACGTTCTTTTGGGTCTCTGAGCTATGCAAGTGTCTGTCTATAGTCCCTTATTCTTCCAGCCCTGCCCCATCCCAACAAATGTTACCTTCCCTACCTCAACCCAGGAGGGACAATGTTTTCCCTCCTCTGAGCCTGTGTGTGTGTGTGTGTGTGTGTGTGTAAGCTTATCTATCTATCATCTATCTACTATCTATCATCTATCTATCTATCATCTATCTATCTATCTATCTATCTATCTATCTATCTATCTATCTATCTATCATCACTGTACATAATGTACCTTGTTTTGTCTCCCTTGTTGCAGTGTGAGCACCTGAGGTCCATGACTGTTAGATCCATCCTTGTACTATTCCCAATGACTAGCACAACAGTGCCTGACAGGCAGAAAGTGTCAGAAGAGGCTTGCTGGTGAGCAGATGTTAAAGCTGTGTCTGAAGCTCGATTGGTAGGTGCTAGGAGGCAGATACCTCCAACATAGAGTTGAGTCCTTAGCACTGAGCTATAGTGCTTGATTTTGTCAGGTGTTCAGGTATCCATGCTAACCAACCTCAGCAAAGTCTCCTCTATAAATCTGAAGACCAGTGGGAATAGAGAATGTATATTCTGGTCTCTGCTGTCTGGTTCCTGACACAGATCTCTAAACTCTAAACAGAGTTTTAAACTTTCAGAACTTCCCTGGGTGACAGTAGTGTCTTTTGTTCTGATGAGGTGACTCTGGGTGGGCTCCTGATAGCTTCAGGTTAGGGGCTGGTCACCAGGAAGACCAAACCATGATGAGGAGCTTGGAACGTTCAGCCCCATCCCCCTGTTCTTTGGAGAGGGGAGTGGGGCTAGAAGTGGGGTTGATAATCTATCCTGCTTACATGATGAAGCCTTCACAAAAATTCCACAAGTAGGAAGTTTGGGAGCTTCCAGGTTGCTGAACACATGCAGGTGCCAGGAGAGTGGTCCATTTGGCGAGGGAATGGAAGTTTCGTGCCCCTTCCCACACACCTTGATACACACCTCTTCCATCTGCCTAATCATCTGTATCCTTTATCATACCTTTTATGATAAATGGATAAAAGGAATTGAGTATTTTCCTGAGTTCCATGAGCCATGTAGCAAATTATTAAAACCAAGGAGGGGCTGTGGGCATCCAGGTTTGTAGCCAAATCAGACACAAGTTGTGGATAACCTGGGGACCTAATACTTGTGACTGGTATCTGAAGTGTGTGTGTGGGGGGGTCAAACTTGTGGGACTGTGTCCTTAACCTGTGGGGTCTGTGCTAAGTGCAGGTAGTTTTTGAATTGCATTGTAGGACACACAGCTGCGGTTAGAGAACTGGTTGGCGTGGGAAAACCCCACACATCTGGTGTCAGGAGTGTTGTGAGTGTGGTAGTGGCATGATGGGACAGGAGAACACGGGGTGTGGGGCGGTGGTTCATATAAATAGTGTACAAACATATTGTCCCACTGCCTTTACCCTGGAAAACAAGACCAGCTATGGGCCAGGGCATGACTCGCCAGGAACTTAAGCTCCTGGGGACCCCAAAATGGACCAGAGAGCTCTCCTAGAGAGCAGAGCAGAACTTAGCCATCCCCTTAGCCATGCCCACCAGTCACTTGTGCTGTTATTTTCTTAGTATATTCATCGGGGCACCTGGGTGGCTTAGTTGGTTGAGCATCCGACTTTCGCTTAGGTCATGATCTCGTGGTTTGTGGGTTCGAGCCCCGAGTCGGGCTCTGTGCTGACTGCCAGCTCAGAGCCTGGAGCCTGTTTCGGAGTCTGTGACTCCCTCTCTCTCTGACCCTCCCCTGCTCACGCTGTCTCTCTCTCTCTCTCTCCTAGAAATAAATTAAAAAAAAATAAAATTTCTATTCATTTTATTTTATTTATTTATTTTTAATGTTTTATTTATTTCTAGGAGACTAAGCCACCCAGGCACCCCTCTATTCATTTTAAATCAGGGTCACTTGAGATCAGTAAGAAGTAACTGAAAAAACAATGTTATTGAGTTTGGCTGGAAAATTTGCCTGCTTAAAGACGTTGGGTCCCAGGCCTAGTCTACCACTATTCAGAAGTAAGATTAAGTATTAGGAAAGTGGTAGACTAGCACAAACCTAGGCTTTGCTCTGGATCATCATCAGTACATATGACATGTGACTCCAGCAAAAGGTGTTCAGATGCTGGACTCTGTATTCCATGAGCACTGCTGACAAATATCTAGTTAGTGTGCTGGCTGAAGGGCTGTTTTATTGTCTGCTAAGATTTAAGAATTAAACACTGAAATGTTTAAGATGATTTGAAAAACAAAGAAAATGTAGCCAAGTGATACAGGAGTGCTGACGCTCATGGGCACATGTACCTCAATGTTCACAGCAGCACTCTCAACAATAGTCAAAAACATGGAAAGAACCTAAGTGTCCATCAACTGACGAATGGATCAAGAAGATGTGGTTCATCTATACAACAGAATACGACATGGCAATGAGAAAGAATGAAATCTGGCCATGTGTAGCAACGTGGATGGAACTTGAGGGTGTTATGCTGAGCGAAATAAGTCAGGCAGAGAAGGACAAATACAATATGTTTGCACATATAGAGGATTAGGAGGAACTTAATGGAGGACCATGGTGGAGAAGAAGGGGAAAAATAACTGGGGAGAGAGAGGGAGGCAAACCATGAGAGACTCTTGAATGCTGAGAACAAACTAAGGACTGATGGGTGTGGGGGGGAGGGGGGGAGATGGGCATGGAGGGGGGCACTTGTGGGGATGAGCACTCGGTGTTAGATGGAAACCAACCTGACAATAAACTATTAAAAAAAAGAAAAACAAAGAAAAGGTAAAAACATAGAAAAGGTCCGGAAGGGTATCACCCAAATGTCAATGTTTACCACTGGATTTTTGTGTGTGGAATAATTTTAGATTTATAGAAAAGTTGCAAAGATAATACAGAGTTCTTGTATTGCCCAGTTTCTATGTTACATCCCTCTGATCTTACATTGCCACGGTACATTTGTAAAAACCAAGAAACCAACACTACTACAATTACTATCAACTAAACTCAAAACTTAATTTGGATTTCCCCAAAGTTTCCATTATCATCTTTGTTTTTTGTGGGTTTTGTTTGAGAATCCAACCTAGGATCCCACAATGCATTTAGTTGTCATATCTCCATTGGTTTGTGACAGTTTCTGCCTTTTCCTGATTTTCATGACCTTGACAGTCTTGAGGATGTCCCACAATTGGAGTTTTGTCTGATTTTTTTTTCATGATTAGATCATGATTACAAGTTTTAGAGAGAACACCCTACAGGTGAAGAGTCCTTTTCTCTGTAGCATGTTGGGGGTATGACAAGCATATGACCTCTCTCTGGGCAATAAGAAACTCCATGGTCATTTGGTTAAGGTGGTGTCAACCGTATCTAGTGGAAGTGAGTCACTAAGTCTAGTCCACACTAAAGATGGTGGGGAAGGAAGGAGTTAAGCTCTACTTCCTGGGTCAGAAGGCTGGAGGAAACTCAGTTCATCTATTATTTTCCAGACGGATCTATGTAAACACCCAGAGAAGTCCTCCAGATACTGTGCCTGCTATCCTGAGATCCATCTGGGTTTCACAAGGGGTAGGGTGACTGGGGGATTTCCCTGATAATCCTGCCTCTCACCTTTTGGTCACCTTTTGAGGAATAGCCAGTATTTTCCAAAGTGTTGTACCATCTCATATCCCCACTAGCAGTGTATGAGGCACTTTATCCATATCCTCACCATCACTTACATTACCTAGCTTTTTGATTCTAGCCATCACAGCGGGAATGAGGATACCTAGTATCTCACTGTGATTCTGACTTGCATTTCCCTGATGACTAATGATGTCAATCATCTTTGGAGAAATGTCAGTTCAGATCTTTTGCTTATTTTTAAATTGGGTTCATTGTCTTTTTATTGAGTTGTAGAAAGTATATATTCTGGTTACAGGTCCCATTTTAGATATATGATTTGCAAATATTTTCTCCCGTTCTTTTCACTTTCCTGATGGTGTCCTTTGCAGCAAAAAAGTTTTAATTTTGGTGAAGTCCAATGTATCTATTTTTCTCTGTTAAGGGCTTTTGGTATCATATCCAAGAAACCACTGCCTAATACAAGGTCACAAAGATTTCCACCAATACTTTCTTCTGAGAGTTTTATAATTTAGCTCTTACATTTAGGTCCTTGATGCATTTTGAGTTAATTTTGTATACAGTGTGAGGTAGGGAATCCAATGTCGTTCTTTTGCATTTCTTTGGCTATCCAATTGTCCCAGCACGATTTGTTGAAAAGCTCATTCTTTCCCCATTGAATGGCTTGGCATCTTTGTCAAAAATTAAGTGACCATACAGATGAGGGCTTATTTCTGGATTATCAATTCTAGATTATATATAAATCGATATTTCACTGATCTGTATGTCTAATGCCTGTCTCATACTGTCTCAACTACTACAGCTTTCATTTGTTTGTTTTTTTCAGGTTTTAAGTAAGTTTCAAAATTGGGAAGTGTAAGTACTCCAACTTTGTTTTCCTTTTTCAAGATTGTTTTAGCTATTCTGGGTCCCTTGAATTTCCATATGAATTTTAGGATCAGCTTGTCAGTTTCTATAAAGAAACCAACTTACATTTCGATGGGCATTGGATTCATCACTGCTTTTTGATAATACTTCAAATGAATATGCTAGTTTCTGTTTATGCCATGGAATTTCACTCCAGTAGTAATATGGTACCAAGTGTTCCTATTAAACAATTAGGAAGCTTTAAAAGACATGTTTGTTTAGGACATCACATATGAACACAGGGTTTTAGTTTGTTAAATGCCTTTATTTCCAACAATTGTTACTGCTTATTAGTCATAAAAATCATCAAAGTCATCGGCGGATGTGTTATGGTTTCTAGGGCGTAAAGCAGCTTCAATTTCTGAGTTACTGTCATCGGACTCACCCCAAAAGGCTGAAAGAGAAAACCAGACAGCTATTTAACAGCTCTCCACTCTAATAAGCTTGGCTTTATCAGCAGACTGGTTAACGAACACTGGCCCACAAAAGGCCTACCAGGGATGCTGAGGGCTGAAGCTGAGCAGGTGCATCTGGGATGTGTTTCTATACTGCACAAATTCGCACATCTCAGTGTGCTTTATGGAAACACGGCAGAATATTTCCTTCCCCTTTTGTTGTACCCAGCTCTTTACTGCAGGATGAGTAAAAGATTTAAGATTTAAATCAGGATTAACACACAGCAGGGTTAGCTAGGTATTCCACCAGACCTGAGACTACCTCAGCTCAGCTGCCCCTGTACTTTGATCGTCCTCTGTTCTTCACAAGAACAGAGAGGAGGAGGAAGACATGGTGGAGGAACAGCAGGCCTTGGGTGCACATGGTTTACTTGGGAGGTGATCCTGGGAACAATGGGAGGGGCTGGAAGAATGGCCCGGGAAGAGAGGAAGCCAGCAGAGGGTGTGTTAACGAGGGGGGGCTGGCAGTGGACAAGGCGGCTCAGTCCTGTAGGCATCCTCTGAGAAACTCTGAACTCTCCTCAAATTGTCCTAACAAAGAGTAAGGAAGTTTTTGTTGACCAACTTTCACTTCTCATTGGTTGAAGGCTATTCTCATTCTCAACCAGGACATCAGCTCCCGGGCACTCTGGGCTGCCTCATAGGGGCTGGGGATGCGCCTGTGGTCAGAGAAAGCAGATGCACAGCTACCTGTGGTGGAAGGCCACAGCACACCCACGACCTGCACTGTGATCTCCAAGGCGGTGGGACAGGATGTGGTGGGACACGGTCTGCTATACCAACAATCTCCATGACCACCGCTATTTCCATGGCACTCACCACCTGCCATTGTGTTGACTTCTAATATACAACCCCATTTCATCCTTGTACCAACCTGGGAAGGGAAGTGTTCATGCCTCCATTTACTGAGCAAACAGGCTGAGAGAGGTTTGTAACTGGCCCCAATCACAGAATTAACGGGTGTTGAAGCCAGGTGTCCCACCCAGGTTGTAGGACTCATACCCGTGCTCTCTATCAACCCACTGAGAAGGAGGTCTAAGTGGACAGAAGTAAAGGGAGCCCAAGTTCTGCACAGGATATGCCACAGTGTTAGCATGGAAGGTGGGTTTGAAAGAGGAATAGGAGCTCACGGTGCTAGAGAAAAGGGGAGGAACAGCATGAGCAAAGGCAAAGACGAACAAGTGTGGTATACAGGCATACCCTGTTTTCCTGTGCTTTGCAGAGATTGTGTTTTTTATAACTGAAGGTCTGTGACAACCCTACACAAGGCAAGTCTATTGGTGTCAATTTTTCAACAGCATTTGTTCACCTTGTGTCTCTGTGTCACATTTGGGTACTTCTCTCATTATTCCAAGCTTTTCCATTATTATTATATTTCCTACCGTGATCTGGGATCAGTAATTATGACTCACTGAAAGCTTAGACGATGGCTAACATCTTTTAGCAATAAAGTGTTTTTTAATTATTTTAAAAGTATTTTAAGATAATTTAATGTCAATTAACATTTTTTAGACATGATGAATACTGTTGTACACTTAAGAGACTACAGTACAGCATAAACACAACTTTTATAGGCACTGGGAGACCAAAAATTTACTTGGCTTTATTGCAGTGGTCTGTAGCCAAATCTGCAAAATCTCTGAGGTACATCTATATTTGTAAAAAAATGGCTGTGACCATTTTTTTAGATCCACAGAGGACAAGACCTTGGTAGGAACTGAGCTGAAAGTAGGGATACAGCCAGACCACAAAGGGAGAAAGTTGTGTACCACGTAGCAGGAGGTATTAGCAATTTTAACCAGGAAGGTAAGGTTACATGAGATTTTAGATGCTGGTGGTCAGATGGAGGACAATGGGGAATGGGGAAGGGGCCAGATGGGAGGAAACCAGTTAGTGTCTACTGCAAGAGCCTTGTCATGTCATGAGCAGTGGGACTCGTGGGCCATTAGCCATGAGGATGGGGATAGAGGCAAAAACCATTTCACAGGTAGAATATACCAGTGATGGTAATCAATTGGATGTGGAGGCCGGGATACCTTGCAAATTTATACTTGCAAGTTAGAACGCTATGCCATCACCGTGGCCCATGGCACCCCATGTGTTGTGAGCTCATAGCCCTGTCACTGAAGAATGGCGCCTTGAAAGCCCTCCGATCCCCGCAGAGACTACATCACCCCGGGGAGAGCCACAAGGGCACCCTGTGATCACACACATGCTTCACCGCCCTTATACGAGGGCACAGAAAACAAGAAACATGTCACAAAACAACTCTGGGTTAAAACACAAAATGAAAATCTGGCTTCGAGTTATTTCTCTTACCTTTAGACTCTAAATTGGTAGTTAGTTTCTTTTTGTTTTCATGCCTGAAAAATAAAGAAATAGCCTGAGTCTTGCAAAAAAAATGACAATCAGATTGATATTGTTAAAATGAGCACATTAGCAAAGAAGCACTGCACTGAAAGGCCAGAAATTTTACACGTTCTCCCTGCATCTTAAGAGCAAGAAGAAAATGTCAAGGGGCATCTGAGTGGCTCAGTCGGTTGAGCTTCTGACTCGTGACCATGGCTCAGGTCATGATCTCACAGTTTGTGGGATCAAGCCCCATGTTGGGGTGCTGTGCTGACAGCATGGAGTGTGCTTGGGATTCTCTCTCTGCTCCTTCCTTGCTCTATCAAAATAAATAAATAAACACTAAAAAAAAAAAAAAGAAGAAAGAAAATGTCAGGACCTCGGTGGCCAGAGGTATTTGTTGATGCTTTGGTGGGTGGGTCCCTATTGCAACAGCATCACCAGTGTCCCCAAGTGTGCTCTCTGCTGGCCCTGCAGACACCAGGGCACAGTGTGCCCTGTGGGCATCCTTTGCAGCGCTGGACAGCGAACACATGGGTGGTGAGGCAGAGGACCGACTTCCCTTCAACAGCCCTCCAAAAAACATGTCTGGGCAAAGCTTTGGCACTTTTAGATAAGCTAAAAGTGAAATAGGGAAGTACAGAATCCAAGATAGAGTAGAAGTTAAGATCCTCATCTCCATCAAGCTAGTGATATCAATCCTTAAAAGCTTGACAAGGGAGTTCAAAATAAACACTCAGCCTGCTTAATTAGAAATACCAACTCATGGTAGAGAAAAAATGTGTTATCCTGGACACCAAGGTGTAGGTTTCTGGGTATTGAATACACAAAGATGCTAGTGTCTATGGCATCTAATGCCTAGCAATCTATTCCTGACAAGGTATTTGCTGGCATTTACATTTATATATTATTTCATTAAAACAGATTCCAGCCTTTTAGAAGAGAAGAATGTCAAGAAAAGACAGACCCCCAACATGCATGGTCATTGCTCATGGCCAGGACCCTGGTTCTTTTGCCATAGGAAACCTGGTGAACTCATCTTCTCCCTCCCTTTGGGTCGAGTCTGGCTAACCTACGGCTTAAAAATCTGCTGTTTTCCACAGCTGCTATATTTGGTGGGTTTTTTTTTTCTGTAAAATAAGCTCCACTTAGGTATCATTTTCTAGGTTCAATATCTATCAAGCTTCCTTTAAACTTAGTGCCTGTTTCATTATCTGTCATGACCAACTAGTGGCCTGCAGCTGTTTCCCCATGAAGAGTAGATGGCCCTATGACCATCTGTAAGGGCCCAGCACTAACCAACAGACGTGGAGGCTGCAGGTAAGGTGGCCACTGACCATATGAATCCATCTTACATAAAGTACTAGCACACACACACACACACACACACACACTGCAACTGGGGGTTGTACGCCTATGAATTCATCTTACACAAAGTACTAGTGTACACACACACACACACACATACACACACACAATGCAACTGTGGGTTGTATGTCTATGAATCCATCTTACATAAAGTACTAGTGTACACACACACACACACACACACACACACAATGTGGACTGTAGGTCTACTATTTATCTACCTCCCATTTCATGAGGACACTGGCCTAGATGCTGGAGGCAAAGGTGGGTTAGAACAGTGCTGGTAGGGGGCAGAGAGGCTCCAGCTGTAGTCCAGGTAATAAGAGCCACAGAAAGAGAGGGGCAGAACACTGAGGGCTGGGAGAACGGGGAGCACAGGGTGGACGATGGGTGGCTGGAGGACCCCTGAGGAAGCAGGGCATCTCCTGGACTCTGCTTTGAAAGCCAGAGAGGATCACACAGACCAGTACAGAGGCAGGGGGATGCAGCAGGATGTGGTAGTGGGGAGCCCTTGGCAAGAGCAAGGGCACAATGGCAGGTAAACATGGGCCAGATCCCTGTGGACCCAGCCACTTCTCTGAGCTCCAGAAACATGGCCAGTGCTCGTGTGCTAGTTCTACTTGGCTGCATCCCAAGCACCTCATGGGCAACATGATCATCCATGACCAAATTCATGATCTCCCCAGTGCGATTCTCTTCCCCTGCCGGGCCAGGCCCCTCCTGTCTCAGTCAAGGCCACTCAGACCCTCTGTTCCCTCTCCAACCCTTTCCACTCCTAGGCCTCCCAGTCAGCTTCATGTGTAAACTGATAGACAGGGCTGTATTACAATTCAATCCTTGCTCTTCCCTCTGCATTGCCACAACTTGGCCAACTACACTAACAACTCTTGCCTGGACCTTTGTAACAGCCACTAACCGGTGATGCCACATATATCTCATCCCCTACAGTCCATCTTCCACTTGGCAGCAAGAATTAACTTCTTGAAACACAAACCTTCCCATTGTTTTTGACACTCTAAATCCTGAAGAGCACCTCCAGGGCTGACTCCAGACTTGGTTAGTTCCTTCTACCCCCACCAGAGAGTCCTCATCCAAGTTGCTGTTTCACACGCATTTGTGTGAACTAACACATGTGTGATCACTCCCCTCGTAGACGGTGAGCTCCGTGAGGGCAGCGACAGTACCTGCTTCGGCTCACCTGGGTGACCCAGGGCTCTGCACTTGGTGGGTGCTCAGTGATTACGTGTGGAATGAAAAGACGAAGCTCTCCAAGAGCAGGGCCCTGCTTAAAGACACTCGACCAATATTTGCTGGCACATTATTTGACTTGCATGTTTCTACTTCTGTGACTTCAGAATCAGGTTGTTTAAGTTTCTTACCGGAGATGGGCAAGAACTCTGTTGCAGAACTAAATGCGTGTAGGTCACCCTCTGAGAAAGGTGGACGTTGCTTCCAGGCGTCTCCTACTCCATCCCCACACCCTAGGGGCAATTACTTTTCCCTTTGGGGAGCCATCTCTGCCTGCCAATGTGACATCCCAATTCAAAGCTGACTTGTGTTACATGGAATTCTTAGGGTCAACAGTTCTTTCTGAGTCGCACCTAATGTGTAAAGCTAAGATGAGGCCAAAGGGCGAGAGAACTTTACCTGGAATACTGGATATAGTCAGTTGTTGAGCTACTACAGTATATAAGAGAAGGAACACATTCACTCTGGCAAGCATAAGAAATAGAAGAGTTAGTCTTATAGGCCATGGGATTGGGTTACACGTACTTGGAATCTGACTACTTTGTCTTCCCTAAGAGCATGAAAGTAACATTTCCATCTTTTCTTTTTTTAATATTTTTATTTATTTCTAGGAGAGAGAGAGAGAGAGACAGCTTGAGCAGGGGAAGGTCAGAGAGAGAGGGAGACACAGACTCTGAAACAGGCTCCAGGCTCTGAGCTGGCAGTCAGCACAGAGCCCGACGCGGGGCTCGAACCCACGAACCGTGAGATCATGACCTAAGCGAAAGTTGGACGCTCAACCGACTAAGCCACCCAGGCTCCCCAACATTTCCATCTTATAAAGAAGAGGTTGGCAAAGGTTTGCTGTAAAGAGCCAGAGGGTAAATGGTTCGGGTGTTGTGGGCTATATGGTCTCAGTCACAACTACTTACCTCTGTGGCTGTAGCATGAAAACAGCCATGATCAATGTGTAAATTGATAGATGGGGGTGTATTGCAATTCAACCTTACTTATAGGCACTAAAATTTGAATTTCATAAAACTGTCAGGTCAGGTGTCATGCAACATCATTCTTCTTTGGATTTCCTCCAACCATTTAAAAAAATGTAAAAAACCTGGGTGGCTAGGTCGGTTAAGCATCTGACTCTTTTTGTTTGTTTTTCCTTTTTCCTTTTTTTTTAAAATAGTTTATTGTCAAGTTGGTTTCCATATAACACCCAGTGCTCATCCCCACAGGTGCCCTCCTCCATGCCCATCACTCCCCTTCCCCTCCCTCCACCCCATCTGCCCTCAGTTTGTTCTTGGCATTCAAGAGTCTCTCATGGTTTGCCTCCCTCCTTCTCCCCCACTATTTTTCCCCTTCTTCTCCCCCATGGTCCTCCGTTAAGTTCCTCCTAATCCTCCTGTACATGCAGACATATGGTATTTGTCTTTCTCTGCCTGACTTATTTCGCTCAGCATAACACCCTCAAGTTCCAACCATGTAAGCATCTGACTCTTGACCTAGGCCTGGGTCATGATCTCATGGTTGTGAGATCAAGCCCTGTGTTGGGTTCCATGCTGAGTGTGGAGCTTGCTTAAGATTCTCTCTCTCCCTCTTATTTGCCCCCCACCCCTCTCAAAAAAATAAAGATAAAACTGCACTTAGTTTGCAGGTGTACAGGACCAGGCAGTGGCCGAGACTTGGCCCCAAGCCGGTTGAACAGTGACACTGCTATACTTAGAGCACACCAAAGGGCCTGCCTTTCCCCTGCATGTTTACCCATCTTTCACGGGTAACTCTTGGAATCCAAGATAGCAGACTTGACTTTTCCCCCAGAAGGTTACAATTAGATTGGAGGTCCTACTCCAACACAAAACATTTTCAGGTAAAACACCACAGACTATGGATTAAATTAAAATGTGACCATGTTCTGCTGGTCTCATCATAATGGGACAATGATCTCTGCAGAATTTCCCAGCAGGTTTGGTAATTTTTCCCCATAGCTGTACAGTGAACACCATGTACCCATGAAGGGGATGCTTAATTTACCTTTTGCCATATTGGACTTATCACATATCTTCCCTCTGTCTACCCATCAAGACATTTCATTTTTTGATGCGTTTCAGTAATTGTTTATGAATTCTCCTGCTACTGACAAACCAGATTAGGACAACTCTAATCAAAGTCACTTTTGTTCTCATCCTTGCTACACTTAAGAGCAGCACCTGGTGTCCACGTGCACAATCTGCAATCATGAGGACACAGGGTATCATTGAAATTATGTGTGTCAACTGTTCATGTTATATGAGCAAAAGGCTAATGCAGCTAGGAATACATACTTAGTCAACATAGTCAACATAAATACAAAATTGGATGGCAAGGTCTGCTGTAAGCATGAAGTTTTGCTTTGTGGAACTGGCATGAAGAGACAAAATGA